CAGAGCAAGTAAATGTAGAGAGAGAAAGTATATTGTAAAGTGTGGAGTGTTTTCAGCGTGGTTACAAATGGGGAAATGGGGTGCTATTTATAGTAGCAATAAATGCCGGACAGGGACACGTGTCAAGCATCCATTGGCTGAGAGGTCACCTCAACTGGTTGGCGCTAGCAGCCGCATGTGGCCGCATTTAATGCGGCTGTTGGATGGGACGTTGTACAGGGTACGATGATCTGTACGCATGTGGCGCAGATATCTTGTCGGAAAAGGTGCCCTTGGCTGTAGAGGACCAGCCGAGGGATCTGAATACCGGGGACCCCCTTGGTGCTGAGGGCTCCAAGTGCCGAGGGCTATTGATTTTCGCCGTTTTCCCAGTAACTTTGTTTTGCTGTCTTGGCCCTCCTGTGAGAGTTAGAGCCTTCAGCCAGGGGGCCGAAGGCACCCCTGGTGCGCATTGTGGGCTGCTTGGTACTCTGAGCGCCGTGATTTGGACCTGTTGGGCCTTCTGGGCCTGTTGGGCCTTTATTGGAGTAGTAGGAGTCTGTGGGCCGGGGGTTCCCGGGCCATATACTCCATCACAAATACTCCATATATATAGTCATAAACATATTACTATTAAAGAAAGTTGAACTAAATACGATTAAAACATTATTTATTCACTAAACATGAGTTCATATTACATTTATATATCCTTGATTTAAATTAGGGGTGGGCAAAAGACCCGGTCCCGTTGGTCCGTTTCGGAACGTTCCGGTTCCGTTCCGAAATTGTCCTGTTAAATTCGGGACAAACTATTTTTGTCCTGTTCTGGTCCCGAACCGTTTCAAAACAAAACGGGACCGGGACAAATAAAATATGTCCCGTTCTGTTCCGTTGTCCCGAATTCAAAATTGTACGGAGTATGTAGTTGTGGGTTAGTGAGTCTACCATCAATTCAAATACTAATGAATATTAATTAGGTATTAGTTATCTAATATGTAAAACACCTAAAGGAGTCTAAATTATACTAGTATTAAGTATGAACTATCTTCTACATACTAAACAGAAACTCACCTATACTTCACATGTTTCACTTCTAATAATATTGTTTGTCTTTTTATTTATTTGGAAAAATTGATTGTAATAATCCCAACTATTTGCGGTCCGCTTATAATAATCCCAACTGTCGATTATCTCAGAATAATCCCAACTTCAGTGACCTTCCGCCAATAATGGTCCGACATGACCGGCTATAAGTAAATTCCTCTAATTTCTAAACTGGATGAGAAGAGATCTAACAAGTAATCCCTATAAATAATTCAACTTTTAATTTTTACGCTTTATTTCTATTTAAAATTCACTTGTTATAGCAGGTCATATCTGGTCATGGACCATTATTGGCGAAAGGTCACTAAAGTTGGGATTATTCAGAGATAATCGATAGTTGGGATTATTATAAGCGGACTGCAAATAGTTGGGATTATTACAATCAATTTTTCCTATTAATTTTTGTAGTTTCTTAGTAGTATTGTGTGTGTTGGAGTTAATTGTTTTTGTTACGGTTTGTTTCGTGCAACTATCCTATTAATCTACTATTTTTTGTGTTGCGTTTATCGCAATTTTTGTATGTGTTGCATTTTTAGTGTTGTAGTTTTTTTCATGAAGTTTCTTTTTGGAGCTGTATTTTTTTCGCTGCAATTTTTTTTGGATGTTCCGAACCGTCCCGTTCTGTTCCGGTACCGGTTTAAAAGGGACAACAGCGGGACAACATCTTGTCCCGTCCCAATCTGTCCCGTTATCCTAAACCAGATTCGGGACCGAGATAGTCTAATTCCCGTCCCGTTCCGTCCCGTGCCCACCCCTAATTTAAATGTCTCCCTTATTCTCTAGCATAATCGGGACAGTCCAACAGCAACAGAAGCGGTGGCGGCTCCCCAATGGTATCGATTAGGCAGTGTCGGCTTAGTGGCCATCGGGATCAATGGGGCAGCACTGATAGCCCGATGATCAGTTAGGCAGCGTTGGCTCAGCACCGATATAGTCAGAAAGTTGATAATATTTAATAATGTAAAAAAGTTACTAAAATATAAATGGAGCAGTACATAATGAATATACAATCATATATACAGAGTATAAAACAAATTCAGAGTAATGCAGAAATGAGAATGAAGTATAAAAGGTAAAGAAGTATAACAAGAAATAACTATACCGAGATTAAATATACCTTTACTTGTGCTTCAATTATATGCCTTCCCAGATATTTGAACGGAGAGCTAACAGTGTTGAGGAAAAACAGAAATTGTTTCAGAATGAGTCATGTCCTTAATTACATGTAGACATGCATATACATCCAACCCGTGTCTCAAAAGTGTAAATTGACCATTTTCCATGCTAGAGATTGTTTAGAGATAAAAAATAGTACTTTTTAAAGAGTATTTCTATATAATGAAAAAAAATTATAGAAGAGTAAAAATGAAAGAAAAAATTCCCTCTGTATTAAGAATATGTACTTTCACACTTGGAGGCAATTGAATAAACGTGAACAGATGAATAGAAACACACATTCAGTTTTCAGTCAACCAATTTTTGTTTTCATAAGAAATCAGGAAAGAATATGTTTTGTCTTCTAACACACTCCAAAACATATATATGGAACATCTAACACGCAATTGAAGTACCCTGAAACGTCAAATTCATTACACACGGAAAATGATGATACCTCACTAGGACCAATTGTTCTTTCTTCTCAGGTAAAACTTTCAATGGAAAGGAGCAGAGCCAGGTTTTGCATTCTTGTATAAAAGAATAAAATATAGAAATTAAACCTGTTTCAGATTATAAAGAAAAGTAACAAGATTATTAGACAATAGCGGAGATTAACTTTTTTTTTTCTTTTCTGGAGTGCTAAAAGAATTATTTTTTGAAGAAACATTCATTATTGGAAAATCTCACTAATGTTTTAACATGAAAAAGACATTGCAAAGTGAAAAAAATTAAAATTTTCCATGCTTTATCCAACATTCTAAACATACACAATAACTAAACCCTAATTGAAAAGAAGTATTTTAAAAATCTTAACAGAACTTTATTATACTCCGTATAAGTTTATCTAGACACTTGATAGATTCACTTTCAGTCTATCAATCGTATTTGAATCCAAATCAAATACTAATCCAAGATAAATTGCTCTGGAAAGTATATAATGTGAACTACAACATAGTATATTAATGTAGAGTAGACAGAGGGGATTATATATGGACACTCTGAAAAAGACAAAAAGAAGACTAAAAAGAGAGCCAACCAGCGTAGATGTGAACTCCGAAGGCGATGAAGAGAATAGTGACAAGGCAGAAGAAGATAACTATGATGACCAATTAGAAATCGCACTAGTCTGCATATTCTCAAACTGAATCCCTGGGACGGACTTCTCCGGAATCTGGAAGAACAAGCCCAGTGCGAAGAGCACCAATGCTATCACCATCACCCCCTCTATTCGCCATCTCGTTCTCCGGCGATTCAATTATTCAATCTCTTTGCTCCGATCCAACTTCTCACAGCCGCTTGGTACATAGGTGTGAGAGCATTAATTATGAAATATTTAGCAAAACCACGTACAATAATCGAACCCTAAATGGATAAGTATATACTCAAAACGTAAATTTACCTGTGGTGGATGAGAGGTGGTTGGCGTTGATAGAGAGGAATAGGAAACAACGAAACATCTCCGATTGTCGAGGTAGAAAGGATGATTGGCGGTGGAGGAAGTCGGAGCTTTGTGCGGCGTCCTCGCCCGAAGTGGGATTTGTTTTGACCTAGATGCTTTGTGTCTCTCAGATACGGAGTATTTTGCGTGCAAATAAAATCTTAAAATCATTCAACAAGGGTTGAATACGAGCCCGACGTAGAATTGTATTATTAAGATTTATAAAAAAGACCCCGAACCCTAACTTAGTTTTACGAAATTAGTAAAACTACCCCGTTCCGGTATATTATGTCGGCTAAATGAAGAGCCGTTATTGATTCAAGATTATTTTTACAAAACTTACCCGCTGAACTAGCACACATTTTTTCATTAATTATAAATACGGCCCCGCGCTGACATACAACAACGGTTCTAAAACACCCATACGAAATCTTAGTTATAAAATGCATATTTTGCACTAGTGACCTCACGATGGGATTTTATCGTTGGAATTGATGAACACCATGAAGGTTGTGCACAACAACATTGAACCCATCGTCCACCGCCGGATCATGCGTATCATGGACTCGCCACAAGTGATCAGGTGTGCTAAGGGACAACCGAGATGCTCGGCGGTGACATCACGATTCTGAAGGAGTACATGGATGGGTGATCCCTAGAAACTTTCCTGAAATCATAAAAATCATTGGGCGAGTGCTCCCACGACGTCTATCCTGGCACAGTGCAGTGCAGTGCAGAGCTCTCTCTCCGACAACCACGCACAACGGCCCTCTCTCCCCGACAACCAGGCACAACGGCCCCTCCTGCTGAGCAAAGAACGAAATTAGATCTTCGTGGAATGGTTGGTGGTTATTCGCCCCTGAAATGGAGATCATCTGTCGTCACAGTGTCTCACTAGTGAGAGCTCGAGAATAATCATGGACTAGTGGATATTCGTTTCACGGCTACAAGTTGGAGAGGTGCGACCGGCGATTTGGTCTTCATCATTTTGGACCAGGGGATGTTGGTGCTACCACAGTTCACCGTTTTCTGTGGTGTAAAAGAAAAAGGTGAAAGCTTCTTTTTAATGTCTGCAAGAACATTGGAGTCTACTATGTTGTGTATACAAAATATATTGAAGTTTAGCACGTAGTATTATTTTAATACACTAAATTGAGTAAATTCCATGTAGATATTTGACTTGGCAGTGAGATGTTGGGCATTGGAGGCATCTTTGGTAGTTTAATATCTGGTCATCACACTTGCTACTATGTGTATTAGAAAACCTATTAATTATTAGACACTTGACATACTTTTTTAAGACTATACATTCAAGCATTGGGGATGCTCTTAAGAGTTAAGACCAACCAACAAGTAGCGTAAAAAAACACAAGATGTAATAAAATAATAGAATTATTGAATTCAAAGTATTTGATAGAACTAAGGGTTTAACTGTATAAGGGGAAGGTAAATGAGATATCCAGCGCAATTGTCACTCCCTACATGGACGATTTCATCAGAGCGGCGCTAGCAGCATGCAGCAAGCATACAGCATTACAGCATACAAAAGCTGCCTGCAGCATTGGTTTCAAAATTTAATTCAAGATAGTGAATGTTTATACTGAAGTTAGGTTTCCACTATCATCATGTAATAAAAAAGAAGAAGATCACACCGCAGCACTTGGTAAACACCACACCGCATCACAAGTACATAAACGCACTGGCACAGCTCTATCCATCCATACTAACTTCCGATCTTTGGCAAATGTGAAATATTCAGCTGCTTGCTTTGAGAGACAGCTAACTGACTAGTTGTGAGAAAAGGATCATCATTCTAAATCAAACAGCAAGTAACTAACTATAAGTTCATTTTGGCAGATTAACTACCAATAGCTCTGGCCTTCCCATTCCAAATTATTTCCCTTCTACTCTCTTCTGCATTTTGCTCCTCTTACTGTTCTCTACACCTCCATCAATTTCTTCAACCTTCCTCTTCTTGGTCTCAACCACCAATGTCTCCCCCACCTCTTTTTTCCTTTTCTTGCCCTTCTTTCTACTATCCCCCTCAACTGAGTTGCTTTCAGTCTTCACATTCTCGACCTCCTTTACCTTTTCCTCAGCCTTCACCTTCTCAGCACTATGACTCATCTTATCACGGACATCTTCTATTGTGGCAGCGGCAGCAGAGTCAAGGTCTGTTTTAACCAAATCATTGCTTTTGACATCTGAATCGCGGTTCCCTGGCTTCTTCTTCTTACGTTTATGATGATTCATTTCTGGACATTCCTCAGACTTCACTGCTTCTTCTGCCTCACTCCTCAAACTTTTCAGCTGGTACTCATCACGAGGATGCTCCTTTCCAACCGGCCCCAAACTATAGAGATTGTGAAACATAGCCAGCTGATTGAATGCATCAGCGGCGCGTCTAACATATACTGATATGGCATCGGAAGCTCCAGTTTCCGAGGCAGCAAAGCCCGACATGATAGCAGCCGCGTCCGAGAGGGAAACCACCGTTGACGAAGTTACTCTCCCTGATATTAACTTCATTCTACACCTAACCTAATGATCTCGAAGGTTTGTGGCGGGGCTAGTCCTGAGAAAATGGGGACCCTGTAAAATAAAATAATTTGGATCATCGTTTCCAACACAAACAGAAAAAAACAAAATAAATAAAGATGATGATAGTGATACATTACAGATAATATGTGTTAAAATATAAGTTACTACTTACCATAATAGTAAAAAGTAAAAGTATTCATTAATAAAGTGCATTTCATTTAAAAAGAGACATTCTTAGATGTAAATTCATCTACCAAACTTTCAATGTCAATCTCTTGTAGTGTTTCAAACTCTATTGATATCAACGTCAATCCACTTGGTGTATTTTAAGTTGATAGACAACGGTAAATTTTAGTGGTAAATATGTCAGTAATGTCACTTGGCAAGCAACAATTCGGATGTTAGGACCATGCAAAATGAAGATGAGATTAAAAGCATGGCGTAATTAAAAACAATGTCCTCTAATAATGTAGTGCTAAACATTCATATTTACACTGATGGCAATGAAGAGAATGAATCATCTCAAGTTAAGTGGGTGGTGAGTAAATGATTTTATAGGTAAATATCATTGAAAGGGTCATCTAATAACTGAAAAAGATCATCAATACAATAGAGGGCAGAATGTGTCCTAATCCTACTTTTGTCTGATGAATTGTCACATGTGTGTTTTCAGTTACCGATGAAGGCTTTCTTTATTTCTATTTCCATTCAAGCCTTGTTGAGCAACAGGTACTTCTCAGCCCATGAACTCTTTGTTTTCTTGACTTATTTAGATTTATTGATATATGTCTTATACGGATGTAATTGAAACACATGCAAAAATATTTTTTCTGTGAATATACTATCATTAAAGGTACTATTATGTGATTATTAGAAAATAATATTTTGCTTTAATATCTATTGTAGTATAGAAAGAAAAAAATCTATTGTACTATAGAAGCATTGACACTATTTCATAAATTGAAGGGGCAGAGTTCACATGAATCCAAATGCAAATGAGGAGCCTAAAATGAAATATCTAAATCCATTATACCGTCTCAGAAATTGAATTGATCTGACATGAAAATGATAGTGATGACAATGAAGAAGATGGTATTTTATCTTATCTTGTAGTGCTAGATATATTGAATGAGAATGAGCAGGGTCTATGTTTGAAGTCCTATGAGCGAATCATTTAAAATGGGGCTAATCTTAAAAAATTGTAAAACCATTTTCTGTCTAAACTAACATGCATAATAACAACAACAACAACAACAATAATAATAAAAATAATAATATATTTCAAAATCTTTATAATAAGGGGGGAAATTTTCAAATACCCCAAACTTTGAAGGGGTGTGAGGTTAATACTCAAACTTACATATGTAATTTAAATACCTCAAACTTTACATAAAAAATCATTTTAGTGCTATGATCATATATTACTTTAAAATTTATGGTCATATAATTTATGGTGAAAATTATATGCTCATGGTACTAACATAACCCTTCATACAATGTTTGGGATATTGAAAGTACATATGCAAGTTCGGGGTGTTTACGTCATACCTCTTCAAAGTTTACGCCCCTTCGAAGTTTGGGATATTTGAATTATTTTTCCCTTATAGTAAAGAAAAAACTTAAATTCATTAAATTAAAAATAGTAGAATTACGGTTTCAAAATACTTTTCCATTGAACTTTTTTCACTTAGGGCTGCATGTCATTCACTCATTCTGAACCAATTCAATTTTAGGTAGCGAAATCGTTCTTCTCCTCCGACTTCTCATTTTGAGGACACTCATGATTTGACTTCTTCACTTAAAAAAACTTTTCCATCGAACCTTTTTTACTTAGGAAGACTTATTCTAATATTCTCCTCTTTTTCTTTCTCCTATCCAGATTCAACCATTTCTATTCCACCTCAAAATTAATTAAGTTTATAAATTTAATTATTACTGAAAATATTTAGCTAACAAAATCAACATATAATAATACGGTTATACCAAATCTCAATAGATAACAGTCAAGTAATCAACAATTAAGAATATGACCAATCAAATATCAATAAGATCAATTAATCAATTATTAAACTAATCATATAATTATCAGGGCCGGTCCTGGAAGACTAGAGACCCGGTGCGACGAAAAAATAAATGGGCCTTTTCTTTCCGACACTAAAAAAAATAAAACTTTAATAATGATAATAGTAATAAATTACACAAAATAAAAAACATTAAACAACAGCCACAATACTTAAAATCATAATTCCTAAAATCATGTAAAAGTTTATAAATTGAAGTTAAAATTTAATTTAATTTTTACTTAATAACTTTAACCCACCACCAAAAAAGCAATAAGAATTAAGAAATAACATATTTTTACATTTACATCAAATTATTAAACATAAATGATGTCATTAATTCATCAATTAATTACACAAAATAAAAAACATTAAGCAACAGCCACAATACCTATTAATCCACTCTACAGTTCTACTAAATTACTAATAATCCAAAGTCCCAAACAATCAAACATATAAGAAAAACAATTAAAACAATCTAATAGAACTATAGAAGTATAAAACTATAAAAGTAAAACTTACCTGCAAACTGCAAAGGCCAAAGGAGTGGACTGAAGTCTGAAGGGAGTGAAGGCCTGAAGGGACTGGACTGGACGCCTGCGGAGGTGTTGTTCTGCAGCTGGACGCCTGGACTGCTGGACGGCCGTCGGCCCGTCGCCCGGAGACCTGGACTGCTGGACGGCCGTCGGCCCGTCGCCCGGAGACCTGGACTGCTGGCCTGCTGCGAATTGCGATGGCCGATGAGCGATGAATGAACGGCTCGAGTGCTCGACGCAACCTGCGAATTTTGTTGCGCCCCCTTTTTGTTGTCCGACTTATCTCAGGATTCAGGAGGTTGTGGGCTTTTGGGTTTATTTTGGACTTGGGCTGCTGGATTACCTAATACTAATACTATTTTTTGGGGGGGCCCTCATAATTTAGAGGCCCTGTGCAGTGGCACTGGATCTCCCTCCCCTGGGCCGGCCCTGATAATTATATCAATCAATTAAAGAAAAAGTAAAAAAATTAAAAACAATTAAGCAAGCCAGTAAGAAATAATGAAGAAGGGTAACTACTTACCGTTTAAGAGGCCGGAGTGTGGGAGGTCGTAGGACCGAGGACAGGAGGAGTACGGATTCGCGAGCACCTGAAGCCTGAGTAGGGCGAGCCGACGAGATAGTGTCCGGAGCTAGAACTGGTCGTAGGACGGTCGGGGCGTAGGGCCGATTTACGACTTCCGAGAAGGGAGAGTCGGCGAGAACTGGTCGTCCGTCTTCTTAACCCAGGCGTTTCCGGCCGTAAAACCTTAAAAACGGGAGTGCTGCTGAAGTCTCCGAGTCTGCGACGGTGCTACCTGTAGTTTAGGCCATTGGGCCGGTTGGGCTGTAAATTATTACTCCGTAGTATAGAACTGAAATAAATCTGAGCCCAACTTTTTTAAGTCTGTGAGTCTGTTTGGTAAAAACAAAATTGTCTGAATTGATAATTCTGATGTTTTGGCTGAAGTGTTTGTATCGGACGATTCTGCTAATTCGTGAAAAAAAATTAAAATATTTGATATTAATAAGTAAAACAAAAAATTATATGAAAAAATACTTAAAATGATCTTCTACAGTAACTTCAGTCAATACAATCAGAAAAGTAACTTCAAACTTACTTTTTCTACTTATTACAAAATTCAACGCGCGAAATCAAAAATTACGTGTTTGATGAAAAAGGTGACTGATAAGCCAAAAAAAAGTCACCAAACGTGTTCTGTATGTATTTATTTGGGGTATTTCCTATTTATATGGTCTTTCCTTTTTCTTTTCACAATACACACTGCCATGTAGTATACCTCGATCTTGCATATCAGCATATGCTAATGTGATTCTTTTTCCTTCTATAGACACCTACATACAAATTAAATTAAATACTTCGTGTGTGTGTGTCTATATATATATATATATATATATATATATATATAAACGGAGTATTATTATGTACTACGTATACCTTAAATATACAGCTTCCTCTCTCCAAATTTACTGCTCGTAAGAACATAACTTGTAAAAACATACCCTTCGTCCCGCTAGAAAGTTCCCATGAACGATTTACAATACTTGACTGACGATAAAGCATTTGAGTTCAATCAGTGTTCAAGTTGGCGATACTCATGGAACATCGACCGTCCGATCCTGTACGTTCATCTCTATACTTCGCCTATATGACTTTGAATTATATATTCTCATTATCTTGTAATTTCCTCACATTTTTCATAAGCTTGAATTTTATTGATGTGGTTAAATTTATTGTAATTGCATGCGTCATTAGTTTTCACACGGGTATCATCTATTACTCCCTCCGTCCCATTTAAACATTCTCACGAAGTTTACGATTTTTGACTGACCATAAAGTCAACTGATCTTTGTCATTAGTAGAATTATTTTTGATAAATAAAATTTACATATGCAGAAACTACATTAAAACCGCTACAAAGTCTGATCAAGAATATTTAAATTTGATAAAAGTTGGATATACGGAGTATAAAGTAAAAGATTGAGAAAAATGCTTGTTTACCGGAGAATAGTGGACGGAGAACCTTTAAATGAGACAGAAGGACTAATAAATTCAAAAATTGATATGGAAAATTGCAAATTCACGTTTATAACTTATGTTGATGCTCGATCATTCTGAAAGTTGTAATTAATAAATGTGTCCATACCAAGAATTATTATATCGAGAATTTGCTATTTATGAGGACGACGATGAATTTTGTTATCTACTTTTTTAAAAAAGTATACTTTTCTATAATCCCTATATAAAAGTATCCATTCATTTTACACACATCTTAAGAAAGTGGGTTTGGTTGGTACTGTTTTTCGATTTTTTGGATTTTACAATAGTTTAGAACTTCCATATATAAGACTCCGTACAAGGTATATGTCCACTGATTTTCGATTTTTTGGATTTTACAATAGTTTAGAACTTCTTTGATAAGTGTTATTTTAGCTGAAGTGTTTTGGAACATCGTTGAGCTAAAGTGGTTAAAATGTGCAACATACAGTGTTATTTAGGAAAATAATTAGGTAAATAAGCATTGATGATAACTCTTAAATTTATAGATTTGCGTGTTGAAAGTGGACGTTAATTGTTTGTTTAGGGTATCTGATCAAAGTGAATGACACTATAACACATTGTTACTGTTTAGAGATTCATTTTAAGATATTTTATAATCATTTTAAGAATAGCGTTACTAGAAGAAATACTAATTAGTACCGAAAATAAGAAGTTACATGTTTAATGAAAATGTTGATTAATAAGCATGATAAGCTGAAAAACATGGTTACCAGACGGGCTCTTATACTTCCTATTTAATCATTTCAAATTCAGCTAAAGTATCTACTTCATTGCATTATTATTCATTTCAAAGTCCAAACCCGCCAATGTAATAATCAAATTTGCAGTTTTGTGTAAAAAGGGTAAGTAATTAAATACTAATGATGATGTTTAAACGTAACAGGTTTGCGTGCTAAGAGTAGACGTGACTTGTTGCTCGGGTTGTCAATTCAAATTGGAGAAGGCGTTATTAAAGCTTAATGGTAAATTTAATTTAATTCCTCTCCGGTCTTAGTTGATGTAGGCCTTTTTTGTTCCTAATACTCCCAAGTATGTTGAGGTTTAATATAAATAATACGATGTGCACGGTGCGCGCGTGGCATAAGAGATAGTCACATAAATATTAGCAAAAATATTATCTCTCTCCTTATTTAATTGATTTTATACAATTTTTGTAAATTTTTCTCCGCAATGTTAATCACGATGTCAACATCTAGACGATTTTCTTGACATTGTGGAGAAAAACTTACCAAACTGTATAAAATTATTCAAATAAGGAGAAAGAATTTATTTACTAATATCTACTCCGTATATTCTTTGAATGGATTTGCTGGTTTTCTTTTATTATTATTATTATTATTTTGATCTTGTTTGATTTTTTTAGATTTACTATTTTTATGAATGTATATATGTACTCCCTCCATACCTATAAAAAAATTTATTTGACCCCACACACAAATTAAAATAGTGGATGTTGTGTGGTGAAGAGATGTGTATATGAGAGAGAAATGTGAAAAATGTGTAAGAGTTGTTTTGAAGCACAAATTCTTTGTCAAAAAAGGAAAGAGGAGATAATTTTAGAATGGACGAAAAAGAAAAGTTTAAAGATAATATAGGGACGCATGGAGTATATATAATTTTCTTTAACGGCTAATATATCACTTAGTCCTTCTTTCCCGTTACCACCCATACTTTTTCACATTTTTCATAGGTTATTTTTTTGAAAGTAATCCTATATTCCTATATAGCATCTTAAAAGTTGTCACTACAAGTTTTGAGCACAATTATACGGAGTAGTTATTGAAAGTAACTAAATCCCATTTAATTTATGGTCATAATCTTTTGGTTAATAATATTTTAGAAAAAACTCTCATATATATTTTACTAATTATGTTTTTTACTTGGATTGATTTGAATCCTAGACTAGACCAGAGAACAAATCAAAACAAATAAGATATAGTAGACTTAAACAGATTTAAAAAGTCCAAACTAGACTTAAACAAACTAAACTTTGGTAGGTATAAAGTACAAATAGATTAAACATCTACCATATCATATTATTTCATACATCACCATACGAGACCGACGAGATCAACCTAGATCAGACTAGATCGAATGATAAAGTTTTAGTCTAATTAAAAACATCTCAAAAACAAGCTCTTCAAAATACCAACTAGGGCTAACAAAATCAACTCAAGCTGAAATTAAATACATCAATTAGAACTAAACAGAACTAATTAGGCCGGATCTGATGTAATTATTCAAATAATATTATACCAAAGAATTCCATTTTCAATAAAATCAATAATGTCACAACCTTAATTTGTATCCATATATTTTCTTTAATTTTACGTTTATTACAGTATAATAATCCAGTTTTTCTGTTTATGAGGCTTATCAATCAATTTTTCATCGAAAACGTTAATTTTGATTTCACGTGCTGGATTGTGTAATAATTAGAAAAAGCAAGGTTGAAGTTATTTTTTCTAAGGGAAAATAATTAAAATACCCCAAACTTTTGATGGGTGTGAGATGAACACTCCAAACTTGCGAAATAAATAATGTTACCCTCAGTCTATATAATTGCAACACTTTTAATTTGCTATTTTAAATTATACAATTAACCCCCATAAATTTACTTTTTTGAAAAAATAATGCATGACAATGGTGCGAAAATAACTTTTGATATAAAGTTTGGTGTATTTAAATTACATATGCAAGTTTGGCGTGTTTATCTCACACTCATTCAAAGTTTAGGGTATTTTTATTATTTTTGCATTTTTCTAACTGTATTGGGTGACGTTATTATTTAAAATCATTTTTCATATAGTTTTTCTTTATTTTATTAATAAAATATATTTTAAATATAATTTTATTCATAAATGAACATAATTAGTCATCTAACCGTTTCAACCAGAACTTCATAAACATCGTAGAATCAATCAATACACTTGATTTAAATATTACCAAAAAGGCTCTTAATTTAAAGCGCATTCTATTTTAACTGTTTTTGACTTGCTCTATGATAGATGTCTATTCGGTGGAGTATGATGCAATAAACAAGTTGGCCACCGTGAGATGTAATTGCGATCCCTCTGTGCTACTCAACTACATCCGGAAAAAGGGTAAAGCGGCCCAACTCGTTTCCTGCTCCAAATCCCCCGCTTCTTCACCTGATCATTGCAAAGGAAAAGTCAAAGCGGATAACAACAAATCCTGTAAATCCAAGGCGAAGAAGAAGGAGGAATCTTCTGCTCCTTCAGATGAACACGAACCAGAAAACGATTGTGTTAAGCGTAGTCGCAGGTCGAAAGAGAAGAAACATGTATGCGCGCCGCCGCCGCCGGTGGATGAGGATATTTGCAAGGACGAGTTCTGTGCAATTCACAGAAGATCGGTGAGTGATATGTTTGGATCCGTGTTTTGGAACCAAAGCGGCAGGATAGGGGGTATCCGGGGGTCGAATTTCGGTGCTCCTCTCCATTCTTATTATCCGCCGCCGTCGCAGCACTTTTATCCGCCGCCGCAGCAGCAATCTTATCCGCCGCCGTCACAGCACTTTTATCCGCTGGCGCAGCAATCTTATCCGCCGCCGCAACAATCTTATTTGTCGCCACAATCTTACTCGCCGCCGCAGCAATCTTATCCGGCACCGCAATCATGCGGATACTATAGCGCTTCCGGTGTGATGCCATTGCGTGGAAATGGGTACTATCCTGCGTATAATCTGAGAGGCGCGCGAGATGAGAATCCGGCAGAAGGTTGCAGAACCCAATGAATTACTCTCTCCACCCCGAATTGAATTGCAAACTTTGATCGGCACAAGGATTAAAAAATGACAATAAATGATGTTTGCTTTTTACATTTTTGTTCATCTTTCTAAAAGTATATGCCTTTAAGTTAATGAGAAAAAAATAAAAATAAGGGTAAATTTGTCACTTTATTCTTATTTACATACCTATAATAGAAAGTAGAAAACCATTTTGGAACACTTAAAAAAGGAAATTTTGCAAATCAAATTGGGACGGAGGGAGTATGTTCTTGTTGTTGTGAGAGTCATATTTTATTGACTAAAGAGTATGATTTTAATTACGAATTTTTTAATTATGATCCAAATTTAATAAAAATATATACTCCGTAATAATTTAAATAGATTTTGAAGAAAAATATATTTTCCATTAATCTATTGTTTAACCAAGTTTCTTTAAACTTTTCCATATACAATATTGATACGTACTACTGTATAAAAGATTATTAGAAGTTATTTATTTTGATATTTTTTTATAAATATTGTGGGAGAGTGAGCATTGCCCATTTTCAAGATAAGGATAATCCATATTTGGGAAATTAATGCATGAATAAAATTCCATTTGAAACTTTGCAACCGCATTTTAAATCCTGGGATCGGCACACCATGAGGATGGTGTGTCCGATCCCAAATAATTTAAATAAAAATATGAGGATGGTGTACCCGATCCCAAAACGGTGTAGTTTTATACGGAGTATTCTTTTTAGTTTCCCCCTTCGCTCGTGACCAGGGAAGCGATTCAGCGATGCGAACCTGTATAGTATATTCCCCGAGAAAGAAAAAGGTTAAAGGTGTCAAGATATTTCCTGTTACTATTCGAAGGTCCATCTCTGTCCGAATATGGCACACTTGCTCCTGAACTGAAATTCTACTCATAGAACTCCGTCTCCATTAATGGAGGAAGAACCTCTGAATTTCTGAAGCTATTGGAAATAACCGAATGGTAAGTTTTCTTCTTATTTCTTCTTCTTCTCCTCCTCCTCCTCCTCCATAACCTAAGGAAGATTTATGCATAATCTATCATTATATAAAAGAAAAAAGGTTTTGGTACTATTCTTTCAACTGTGTTCCCGCTCAACTATCTCTAGGAAAGAAAGTCCATGGCTGAAAATTACAAAAATCTCCCTCTTGAAAAATTGCACAACATTAATATATGATGAAAATTGTGAACAGTCCGATGTGATATTACACTAGCTCTTATTATTGACAGAATTAAACAGTTCCAAATTGCCAAAAATATCCCTGCAACCGTACTGTTTGTTGATGGAAAAGGCATCTTCCCTCTGTTTTTTGCGGATGGGTATTATGATCTCCACTAGAAAGTTGAGTAGTATACATATCTACAGTAAAGTTAAACAATAAAAAGTAGTAAATGGTGATTGATATCAAAGCATCTTCAAAACTTTGGTACGGAATTGTATAAAAAACAGCATACATCAAATCCGGTCAGCCTGTGTCTCGGAGCATGTGTACACATCTCCATAAAGAATACGGAGTCTTGAGATCTGAAAAAATAAAAAAATAAAATCATCCCACAACTTTGGCCAACCTGTCCTTGGCTAACACGAAACTTCTTTAGGAAGGATCATCCAATTTTTCCTATAAATACTAACCTCATTTCAAGGGAACACCACTTGATCCTTCTGCCTCTTTTCTTTCACTAGAAGTTTTGAGCCTACTAGCAATAATCATATCCATATATACATGTGTGAGTGATATTTATTCAACCGAATTTATTCTTTTGTTAATGATAAGTCAATGAAAAGTAAAGCAAACTTGAACAACTGAAAGGAGAAAAGCAAATGGGAATACAACTCTAGAGGTATAAGCAAATTCTAAACTTTCTACAATTTCTTGATGACTATATTACGAAGAAGCCGACACCAACAAAGCAATGGGTCTCTGCACAGCTAATCTCTAATGAAAGTTTTTAGTTCATGCAAAATCAAACAGAAGGATTATGTCATAAACTCATGTTTTTATATGTACTAGCTCAAAGAAAGAATTTTATTTCAGCTACATAAACAACCAATAATTTGGTAAAAGATCAGCAACATTACACAAAACACAGAGTATTCATTGTTTTGATTTATTCATGCATTCTATGTTTTTGTGAATCCAGTCATTATAGAAATCTCAACATAAACTGAACACACACACGCTGATACATACACACATACATAAGTAGACACACACAGTGGCACAAATGATTGGCTCATTCAAAATATATTTTAGGAAATATTAAAGCTTGACTTGGTTGAGGAAACAGATGGAAGTAAATGTTACTCTCAGTTTTAATTGCATGGCAATTTAGATTCTACATTTTAGGAATCCAATAGGAAACAATTAGCACAATCATGTATATGTTGGACATGTTGTAGATCATATCAGAATGGTATTATTTTTAGAAGTAATATAAATATTACTGATATTGTATTTTTTATATTAAAATGTATAGTGTAGGTAAGAGATCAATATAGTTTACCCACTTTCAGCATTGTAGAGTACTTTAGACTCTGCATTATGGAGTAGATAGGATGTACCTAATAGGCAACTCCCAATTGTTTTTAATTTTAACGGTTAAAAAGTTCATGAACTCCAAGATTGAACACCTGCAAAAAGAACATACAAGAGATCTTCGTAAAATTGTATCTATATGTACTTTTATTTACTACTTAAATGAATATTTACTGTATTAGATAACATAGAATAGTTCATACTTCAAATATTGTGTGCTTGAGTATTTTTCAACATAATGCGGTTACATGTTAATTAGAGGGAAATGCCACCTTTATAGAAGTTTAGAAAACTGTTCTTACAAAATATTAGAATTAAAGAAAATAAACCTCACTATACTATAAAACATCTTCAATTTCAAAACCTTACTATACTATAAAACATTAATGTTTTAATACAACTCCTGACATTTTAACTTCAAACAAAGTGTAATACCAAAGTTTTTAAACACATCAACTTAGTGTGACATGTAATTTTGTATTGTCTATAAACTTTAATATGTATGTTGTATAGCAGGCTTTGGCGAAATACGTATGCTATATAGTATAGACTTTAATATGTAAGCTATATACGTATCCAAAAAATTGCGAAAGTTTTGAAAACAAACAAAATGAATAGATGGATGATCGGTTCTGGGTGTTGGCACCAAAAGAATATAAAGGGAATATGTAAAAGCATCAACGCAAAAAAAGAAAAATCTAATAAATTGAAGTTACCTAGATATCTGCCAGATCTATCGCTGTGAATCATGAGTTGTAAAAGGAATTCCGATTAGAGTTTTTTCTTCTTCAAAAGGTTACTTCATCAAAGACATGGCGCCAAGTAGGAGGTGGGTTTTTGTTTTTACCTTTTGTCAATCAACTCTGAGCGGCTGAAAAACCGGAGCTAGGCAGACTGTTAGTTCATTCGATAGTGAGGTCTGATAGGTTTCTCTTCCGCATGCGGCCGTTGAGAGAGCCGTCAGGCCTAGATTTCGGCCGACGCACTAGGGAAGAACTGAAGTATGGGTTTGGAGAAGTTTGTTGAACTGAAATGCTTAGGCAGTGGAGGAGGTTGTGAGGGTTGGTTCTGATAGGGTTTTCAATTCAAACAAACTAAAGTATAGGTCCGTGAGTAATGTAATTTTAGGAGTATTTATGGGCTTATATTGTTTGGGCTTCCTTTACCTTGAGATTAATGGCATATTCATGAGTGGCCCGTAAAATATTAGGTAATTAAATGGTGTGTAATGGATACCCAAAACATTACCAAAGATTTGTATTGAATTTTCAAGTATAATGTGTGTAATGTTGTATACTAAACCATACAGTTATTACAAAAAAGAGATATTACCCGAAATAGGACCAAAACAGTTTGAAAATTCCAACATAGGACTGCCATGTTTTTATTCCCAAAATAGGACTAATTACTGCCATGTTTTGGCAGTGCCAGACTTCAAACATGTCAGTATTTTCTAAATATGGCAGTAATTAGTCCTATTTTGGAAATAAAAAACATGGCAATCCTATTTTGGAATTTTAAAATTGTTTTAGTCCTATTTCGGGAATTTTCCCTATTAAAAACTGTTTTTAATAATTAACAATTAGCTTTCTAATTTTTTTTTTCGACTTATCATGCGAGTTTATGTTTGAAGAGTCAATGAAAATTGTTGAAATAATAAAAAACCAAGAAAAGTAAAAAATTAGGAATGTAAAATCTACCACCTCCGTCCCATTCAAGGTTCCATGCCACTATTCACACGGTCAACTTAAATCAATCTTAATATTTTTTATATATCAAAATTTAAATTTTCTTGAGCAGACTTTGTATAGTTTTTAATGTTGTTTTTGAAAATATAAATTCTATTTACTAAAAATAACTAGTGTGTGAACAGGGATCAAGTTATTTTATCGTCAGTCAAACATAGTAAACCGAATCGAGAACCTTTCTATGGGACGGATGGAGTATATTGATTTTATTTGTGTTTTCCAATTGTTTGTATATTCTACTTTTTAAAAAAAGACATTGTAGTAACTCCATTCTTACTTATTTTGATTATTACATAGTATAGGGTGTAAAATAAAAAGTTACATGATATGTTTAGTGAAAAAATTGAGTGATTGTACCGATAAGTCAAGAACAAGGGTCACTAAACGGACTCTGAATATATTTTATTCACCGTTAACTATTACAATATTTTACATAGTATGGCTTATATTTGTTTATGAAAATTACCGATCTTTTTTAAAAAAAAATTACAATGTAAACTTTAAAATAAAATGTACCTTTTTTAGTACACTTTTTAAATTAGAATGTAAACACCTCCCACATGTTGGTTTGTTGTTAAAAAAATTGTGTTACTCATGGGCAACTTATTTTCGTGACTGTGTTAAGAGCAAGCAGTCGTCAAGGGTTGAAAATTCTCATTATGAACGATGAGAGAGGAACAAATACTGAAACTGAAACCAACAACGTTGTGTATAAAGAAGTGTTTCATACCGTTTAAATTTGAATGTAATATCTTTCAACTTTTGTTTATAGTATGGCTTGATTGCAAGTAGTCCATGATTTCTGTTGGTGATTGACCTGATTTTACATCAATGTAAT